AAGAGGGAGCCAGGGGGATGCACCCCTTTTGCCCTTAACCTCTCTCATATTATGGGGCAAGTCCAAGGGAGAAGTCCAAAGTGGGCGGGGACTATGGGAATGCACTCATCGCCATTTATTTAAATGCAGTTAGTCCACATCTACAACAGCATAACTGAGAACATAATTTAACACACAAAGACTGCAACAAAAGGAGCAAAAAGAAGAGGAGAGAGAACCTGTGAAAAAATAGTGTGCCTAAATCCCCTCTCATCTACACTGAGTAGCTTTGTACCAGCACATCTCCATTTACCAGCAGATGCAGGTGTGATTTACCCCAATAGGAGAGCTAGGGCTATTGTTTGTAGTGTTTGTGCTTGTCAGCTCTCAAAGCTGTTTTTCTATAGCATTAACTTCCATTTAGGAAAAAAAGCAATTTGAAAAATAAAATAAATTTGAAAAAAAAATGGCCTGATACAGATACAGGGGAAAAAACGTTGCTCAGACTTGAATCAGTTTTGCGAAACTAGCTTTAGAGGAAAATGTTTGTGATCTATACTCACAAACTCAAGTTTTACATTGTAAAAATGTTAGAGTATATTCCTGTGAAAACACAAGTGGTAGCTGGGATTTGGGGGTCGAATAACATTAACAGAGTTTTGGCTGCTCGTGGTACTAAATAAAAACAGCTACATTAATATTTCAGCTTTGCCACCTTCAAAAATGATCGTTTAAGCAATATGACTAAAGATTTAATCCATTCTTTGATCCTAGTACGTAATTCCCACTGATGCTAAACAGACTGAAATTCATTAGTGGGGAGAGAAGATTAATTTACATTGTGGGGTTTTTGCTCTTTTTAAGGTGTTCCTCAAATACTATCATGTGGAGCAGCTGAATTTAATGCGAAAAGAGACAATTGGCAGGATTATTTTGATTCAGGCTTGTGTCAGGGGGTGGCTGTGTTCGAAGAGATACCAGAAAATAAAGGAGAAAAGGAAACAAAGTGCTATTAAAATACAGTCAGGTAATATCTCAACAGTATTTTACATTAAAGATAGCATTTTGTGCATGTATAGATATATGACTGTACACACCTTCTTACATTTTGCTCTTTTACACCTCTTGCATTTGACAAAAGTACCTTATAGTTCATGCTACATATATTCTTTTGGAAAAAAATGTCAGTTAATCAGTTTATGACAATAAGTTCTTCAGTGCTGTTGTGTTTGTCAATGTTATATTTAGGAGACTAGTTTAACAATAGAGGAATGTGATTACATAAATTATATTCTTATTAGTAATATTTGAGTATATTCTGACAATATTGTGGAGGATACTGAAAAAAAATTGAATGCATTAACCATCTTGGATAAGAAACCTAATTAAGTCATTGCTTGAAAAATTGCTAACTGAAGGATCTCTCTTAGCACAGCTTTGAGCATCACCCTCTTGTAACTTCCAACTTCCATACTATTATTTATTAAATGAATTAATAGTAAAGATACCCACAGAGATCACAGGAATTTTTATACTGCTTGTGTCTACTTGCCATAGTTTTTGAAACCTCAGTTGTCTCCCTTATTTGAAAGTTTACTTCTATGTATATATACCTGGAAAAAAAATATTTGTGAATCCTTGAATTCACGTTCTGTTATTCTTTGCAGCACCCTTATGTATCATCTAATGCACTACTTAAATTTTCCTAACTCCTTTTAGCTTACAGGGCCTATGTTGCTCGTAAAGATTATAAAAATGTAAAAAAAAATCACAAAAGGGAAATGTTGATTACCAGCTTTCAAGCAGGTAAGAACTGTTTGCTTTCTAGGGTTTTAATTCACTGATTTTACTCTTTATACATAATAACTTAGGATCTAGATCAAGCTCCTTGATTGCTCCTGTGAGCACCACTTGCCTCCCCACTGCTCATGCAGATCCTGTCCACCCTCCCACTCCTGGCAGATGATGGGTGCCCTTGATTGCTCCCACAGATCCTGACTACCCCTGACCTCCTCCCAGAGATCATGCCTCCCCACTATGGATCACTCGTGACCCCCATCCCCTACAGAGCCCTGATCCCACCCCATCCCCCTCACTAGCTACCCCGATTCCTACTTACCTTAAATTGGGTGGCCATTTTTAATGCAATCTAGCCTCCCCCTAACCTCTCCCCACCCAAATGTCTGTACTTAGCGCTAGAGAAAAGTTGAACTTCTGTGTTTCTGACTTCCCATTACATTACTCTTAACTACCACACCACAAGTTAGGGATTGCACAGGCCTCTCTCCAGCACTTCTTTTGAAGCTGGTTCCTTGGGCAGTCAAGAGAGGGAAATATATGGAGCCAGGAAGAAGAAAACAAGGTGAAGAATACATATACATAATTATTCAGTGGCTGGGGAGAAAGCAACTCCATAGTCTGCAGTGGGAGCCTACCTTTTTAGCAGCTGTACTACAAATTAAGCCATGTGCCCCCGCAAGTGCTACTCCAATCCCCTTTCCTACCCAGTATACTGTTCTGCTTTATCCTCCATGCTATGTGCTCCACATTTGATATGCTGCTCTGTTTTCTGCTCCCTGCACTATCTGCCACTGTGCTGCATGACCCCTCCCTTATCTGCCATGTGCCACACAGAGTCTGCCCGTGACACTTGTGGCATGCTCACTGCAAGTTTACTAGTCCTAGGTTGCAGGAGTCAGCAACTTATGGTCCACAGCTCAGATGCAGTCACCATGATCCAGGTCAATGCCTCCAAAACCAGGATAGTAGCAGAGGGAATTGGCAGCAGCCAGATCATGTCACAAGTGGCGGCCCACCCCAGAAGCAAGCTGCATGAATTGGGCCCACTGCTGCTAAAAGCCCCTAGACCTCTGCTGTAGTGGCTAACACTCACCTGTACTGTATCAGGTGCAAGGTAAAGTACCTCAGACAGGGCAGAGACATGAACTTGGGTGTACTTCATTTGAGATGGTTGCCCCAATATTCAGGATATTGACTGTTTCTGGGTCTTGCATGCTCACACTGCCCTCCCTCTTCCCCCTTGAAAAGCTTAAATCTAGGTTTCAGGCTGACACAGAATGGAAATATTTTTGAAAGCTCAAAAAATTTTACAGAACAGAAAATCTGAGTTGAAAACATTCTCGCCCCTTTGTGTATACTTCCTATTCTTGCCCCTTTGTGTATGCTTTCCTGCTGCTACGTTAAACTATGTGGTGTTTGTTTAGAATCCAGCCTGGCTGTTGTCTGAGGTTTTATTCTACTGTGATTTCTATCAGTTGCAAGAGGATACTTAATCAGGAAGAAAAGGAAAGAACAGACAGATACAATTAACAAAGCAGCAACAACAATTCAGTCTCACTACAAGGGATACAGGGAGAGGAAGAGCTTTGGAAAAAAGAGGTAGTGATCTTTTTCTTCTATTTTATCACCAAGTGCCACTGCTTTAGTAATCACAGTATCAGTTAGCAGGTATATAATCTGAAAGTGAAGCAGAATTTCATGTGTGGTATATTTGATTGTTTTATAAACATTAGTAAAATTTTTCCTCAAGTTTTCTGAGCTCAGGAAGAAAAGACAAACTTGGGATAAAAAAAAATAAATTGGCAGTATTTCACTTTCTTGTAGTTTTAATATAATCCAGTGTCATTGATATGTATTATTCTGTTTGGAGTAGCTTTCCAGGAGATATTTCTATAAATAATTAAATTTATATGTAGTTGATAAAAGTAAAATCAGAAAGAAATCAATAATCAAAAACACCGAAACTCCCACTCCTCCCCACGCAAAGTAAAATGTGATAGTGAAGCACAGCGGGTTTGGAAAAGATGGTTCAGAATGATTTCCTGGTGTGTGGTGGTGTACATCTAGCACATTTGGTGGTTGTTCTGTGCCTGTTCAGTAAAATTGACCAATTATGATCTCATCTTCTGAAATACTCCTGGGAACTCCTGTTTTTTTCTTTCTTAAATGTGTGCCTAGTTTTGTTTTGGATTTTGGTTGGGGGGGGTTGTTTTGGTTTTTGGGAGGGGGGTTGGTTTGCTTTGCTTTGTTGTGGGGGGGTGTTGTGGTGCATGGTTGGGAGTAAGCCTAGAGAGATGTAGTGCTAGAAAGGAAGGTTTGGAAACTTTCTCATGGAAGGAAACTCCAGAGCTCACAGACAGCAATGATGTGGATGGATAAAATATAAGGATAATGTAGTGTTAGTATGCCACATTGTGGTACAGGAAAATGACATTTTGTTTCCTGTGTGACCCCAGCTGCATTACTTAGGGCCAGATTCTTTTCCACCTGTCAGGCACTTCGGAGCACTCAGGTGCCTGAGGATGGAAACAGACATCACCTTTTGTCATCTTTGTGCTACCAACATCTAACCACCAACTAAACAAAAGTCCTTGTTGCACTAAAAATGCCCAGAACTTGTGACCATGGCAAGGTGGTATCAATTTTTGCCACTATTTTGTGGAAGATGTCTCTGTGCTTTGTGGCGTGAAAGTGCAGACAGCCCAGATCTATCAACTTCTCCAGCTGTCCTAGGCAGCTGCTCCAGGGGGCTTGAGAATCCGGATCACCCCAGGAATTTCCACACAGGACTGGGCCCCTCATGCTATGGGAAACACTTGCCTGGCTTCCCCACCTTACAGAGACATTCCCCAGACATCTCAGGGACACATCTCTATAAGAGGGAAAAACTGGCCAGGGACTCCCATGGCTTCAGGGGTCTGATTGTGTGGGGGAAGTCCCAGGGCATGCAGGACTGGGCCCCTCAAGCTCTGGGAAAATGTGTTACCCTTTGTCCCCAGCATCGCTGGGTAGAACAACTAGCAGTGTGTTTCACCCAATAAAGCAGATCAACTGTGCTGGGACACATCCTGACCCAGTTGATCTGCTTCATATAGTAATGCCTATTTCTAGCCTAAGTGCAATACTGTTCCACCTTCTTTAAGTCCCTGCAAAGCTGTTAATACAAAAGTGGGATGGGTTCTTTCCATCCTCCCTGCTTTTTATGATTCCATCTTAAGGGTAACATATTAGTGTGTTACAAAAGAGATGCATGTTTGGATTTTCAAGAACTTGAGCCAAGTGGAACAGAATCGCATTTAGGTGCCAAAGTCCATTGACACCCGGATAGGTAGAATAGGATCCGGCCATTAGTATCTCTCTGTCCCAGTTCTCTGTCTATAAAATGGAGGTAATCTCACTTACTGTGCCACAGATGTGTTTTGAGGATAATCGTGTTAAAGGTTCCAAAATGCTCAGGTAATAAGTACCATATGAAATAGAAGGAAGTCATGGAAGGTGTCCAGGAGGTTTTTCAGGTGGCAGTTGGGGAGAAGAGGGTGAAAGACATTGGCATTGAAGCTTGGCTAATTGAAGTTTGGCTAATAGTGAGAAAAGAAGCTCAGGAAATGTGCCAGTTATTTCCCTGGTGTCAAGAAATATTTTCATTGTTAAGTTTTATAACCTGGCTTCAGGTCCACAACGGTTCTTTTTTGGCATTGCCACCTGAAACCAGGTAGCTCCTCTGTTTGAGGATGTGTTTTGATCTGTATAAATATGGCAGATTTTGCAAGCTCCTGGAAAATGCCTGCCTTTATATGTTCTCTAGATTTTCAGTGTATTGTTCTCTATCAACTTTATCACTGGCCCTTTTACTGCATAGGTTACTATCCCCATTGCCTTCAAGAAGTTTGATAAGGATATCCTTCCTGACTTTGAATATCACTGCTATTCAGAAAATATATATATTCATTACCTCTCCTTAATGTGTTCTATGCAGTTGCCCAGTTTTCCCTTCCTGATGTATTAAATTATGGTTTAGTACACAAATGTTGCTACAGGAAGTTGAAAGGTAACACTACCTGTCTGCTATATTTCCCAAATGCAACATGTCTCATGCAGGGAATCATTTGTGAAGAAGGAAAAAACTGAAAATGCAGGCTCCATTACTGTAATGGAAGAAGATGAGCAGCCTCAAGGCAATGAAGAAAACCCTGCTGGGATGAAGAGTACTTCTTCTCAGACTGAAGAGGAGGCAGCTGTCATTGTGCAGAGCAATTACCCAAGCTACAGAGAGAATAAAAATCTAAAGGAACAAAGCAAAAAAATGTCAGAACAAGAGTTATCTCTGGCAGAAAACCTCAAGCCAGAAGTAAAGCCAGATGAAAATGTAGCACAGGAGGCTGAGACTGAGAGAGGCAAAAAAGATAAGGCTGCTACTGTCATTCAGAGCAGGTACCGTGGACACCTAGACAGAAAGAACCTAGAGGATAAAAGGAAAATGCCTCCAAGAGGTGGTGATGCTTCTGACAAACAAAACCTTCCAGAGCAGAATCTCAGTGACAGTAAAAACCAGAACTCTTTGAAGCAGCCATCTAGCAACACATCTATCAAAATAACAACCAAACCTGGCCTCCAAGAGCAGACTACTGAGAAAACAGACAGTACAGATGACCAAAATCAAGTGTCCATGGTTGTCCAAAATGAGCGTGAGAGTCACCTAGATACAAACCATCAGAAACACAAAGGAATAGTGCCTGTTGAAAGTAAAGGCAATATACAAAAAGACTCAATAAGATGTTCACATAAGCAAGTCAAGTTGGAAAAGCAAAGTTCAGAAGATCAAGAGAAGGCAGCAGTGGTAATTCAGAGTAATTATCGGGGTTACAAAAGAAGGGGGGAACTCAGGAAAGAGGGCATATTACCATGCAGAAATCAAGAGAGAGGCACAAAGAAGCCATTAGCAACAGCAGTACATTTTCAAAACCATGAAAGAGAATATTCTCATTTGGCTGATGACCATAAGACTCTCAGGGAAGGCTCAGAGAAAGAGGCCTGTGATTTGGCAACCTTTTCAAGACAGGTAAGAAGCTTATAATGTTAGATATATTAACAGCAGTGCATTAGCAGAAAGCATGCTGAAAATGAATGTGATGAATCACACTCCTTTAACATGCAAAACACTGAAATTAACTGTAGGAAAGGTGCACTGTAAAACTGGGTGAGGTAGAGACACCAAGTGTTAATCTGTTTTCCTTAAATTGTGTCAAAATCTGTCCGTGTCCCAAGCCCTGGATTTCTAGGTGGTCTTTAGTGCACAGAAGTCCCCTCCACAAATGTTTCCAGTCAAATGCATGGGGCTAGCTGGGCGGGGGACAATTCCTTTTCACAACATCACTCAGGTTTAAACATTTAATTTTGTTTTGCACTGAAATAAAAATGAAATAACCAGTGAAACAGGCAGACATTTATACAAAGTGGAATTGTGTTGAAATGTCCATTTTTTAAAATAAAAAAGACAAAAAGGTCAGGTTATCCTTCACACTGTCTGGCAGAAGGTAGGGGAGGCTGGCACCAGAGAAACTACCTGGTTCAGAGAGACATGAGTTTTCATAGGCAACAACACTGTGGGGAAGAAGGGTGGGGAGGAGATGTGAGCAGGCTATCAGCCCTGGACACCAACTGGACAGGGGCCAGCAGGACAGGCCCTGCAAGGAGAGGCTAAGGGACCTGAACCTGTTCAGCCTCCACAAGAGAAGGCTGAGGGGGGGATCTAGTGGCCATTTACAAACTAGTCGGAGGGGACCAGCAGGCATTGGGGGAGTCCCTGTTCCCCCGAGCACTACCAGGAGTGACAAGAAATAACGGTCACAAGCTGGCAGAGGGTAGATTCAGACTAGACATCAGGAGGCGCTACTTCACAGTCAGGGCAGCTAGGACGTGGAACCAACTTCTAAGAGAAGTGGTGCTCACCCCTACCCTGGGGGTCTTTAAGAGGAGGCTAGATGAACACCTTGCAGGGGTTGTTTGACCCCAGTACTCTTTCCTGCCAAGGCAGGGTGTTGGACTTGATGATCTGCTCAGGTCCCTTCCTACCCTACCAACTATGAAACTGTGAAATATAAATTAATTGGAATGAGTTAAAAACAGTCTGCCAGGCTGTGAAACAGGAGCTTCTTTAGCAGGAGCAGCTAAGAGACAGCAAAATTTCAGAACAAAAGCTAGCTTGATTGGTGAAATATGAAGACCATTAAAAAGAAGACAGGGTCACTGACACCTGTAGAATGAAGAGTTTAGAAGGGATCGGGTAGATTATTAAAAAGCCATGAAGTCAGTTGACTCCCTCAGCACTGCCTGACTAGAAATGCTGCTGCAGTTGGTTTTAAACTTTGGGTGGAGAAGGAATCAAAGGGGGATGCAAGTGCACCAGTGCACCCTCCCTGGATCCACCCCTGGTTATAGGACCCATTTGTACAAGCTGCTCTGCACCGACTGACTTCAGCAGGGCTTCATCGACTCACAGGTGGAAGACTGCACAGAGCAGCTTGCAGAATCAGGTTGCCAATTGTTCTTACCAATGTGGTACTTCATACATTGCTGTGATGGGATTATTTCATATTTTCACAAAACAGCAGCACAGTGCATAAGAGCAGTTTCTCTAGCCTCTGTTTGTCTTATGGTCCCATCTGCAAATTTTAACCTTTGTTTTTATCTTGAAACATAAAAATTAATCTCTCTCTATATATATTTTTTTAGATATCAAAATTATCTGAAGACTATATAGCACTGCAACAAAAATTGAATGAAATGATTTTGTCGCATCAGCTGAGGCCTGTGATTATATCCAAAGAAAAGCAAACAAATAGTCAACTTTCTCCTCACATGTGTCAATCAGGTAATCTTCAGTCTTGTTGTTTGTCAGGAGCAAATGTTCCATCCACAGAGGAATTCCCTGGCAGTGTTTCATATTTCTAGTTTTTTTAGGTCATTGGGTCTCACCTCATGAACACATCCAATGATTGCAATAACCCCTCAGGTCACAACATCACACTGGGAGCTCATGTTGATGTACTTGTCCCCTATAACTCTTATATTCTAAAGTCAGTGTTTCTCAGGATGCAGAGCCTCCTTTTGGCAGGTCTGGCCTGCAACCCTTGTTTCTAGCTGCATAGCTTTGCCTTTGGCAGCACTAAAACTCATTTTGTTTGAAGTGGCCTTGGTTACTAAGCAATCCAGGTCACTTTGTATGACTGCCATGTCCTGTTTGTCTTGCTGCCAATCTTTGTGTCACCTGCAGATTTCATCAGCACTGATTTTATATTTGTTCCAGAACAGTGATGAACATCTTAAGTATTATTAGGCCCAGGACCATTCCTGCAGAACCCCACCAGAACCCCTCCATTCAATGGTGATACTTCATTGGCTATCATTTCTTTATATCTGTCATTCAGTCCATACCTAATCCATTCAGCATCTGCTGTGCTGGCATTGCATGAGACTATGTGAGCCTTAAATCAACCACCTTACAAAAGCCTAAGGATATTGCGGCTACATAGGCTGTAGACAAACATTCAGTGGTTGCACTATAAAGTGTTTCCGCACTCTGTAGCACTACAGAAATATAGTGCTCTAAGAGTGTACACATGTGCACAGTCCCCTGGCTGGAGGATGACAAAAATCACATCAAAGGCACATTCTCGATCCTGGGGTCAATAGTAGACTGCTGTTTTGCTCCCCACCAACCACATTGAGAGCCAGTCAGTAAGCCTGATCACTTACAACAGGGATGTCCAACTGGTGGCCACAGGCCACATGAGGACTGCAAAGGCTCAATCCTCTGGGCTCCCTCCCAGCTACCTCCCAGATTCCCCCTATTGCTCTGGCTGCAGCAGCAGCCAGGATCTCTGAGCTGTCCCTCCACCTTCTGCTTCTGCACCTGTCCGAGGGAGTGGCATGGTGTGTGTGCCCACAGCTAGTGAGTTGGTAGCGTGTCAGTGTCTGTGTGTACAGTGGAGCAGCTCCCCGCACATGATCTGCAATGGTGGGGGAGCCACCCACAGGGGAGCCCTCAGCCTGTACTATTGCAGCCCTTGTAGTGTGTGGCCCCCTCCCTATGCAGACTATGTGGGATTCAGCCTCTGGCCACTGAGAAGCTGGACACCCTGACTTACAGACTGCACTCTCCAGTGGGCTGTCAGCGAGCAGCGGTGCTTCCTGGCATTTCTGTGGTGGCCATGGCAGCTGTTCCCGCTGCCATTACCAGAGCAGGAAGAGCTGCCACAGTCCCTGCAGGAAGAGCACCTCTTTGGTGTTCTCATGACAGTGTGGGAGTGAGAATGTCTGCCACAGGAACAGGGGCTCATGCTGGTACTCTTTAGCAGCAGTGGTGGCAGCAGCAGTGGGCCTGTTCCCCTCACTGCCGCTAGAGCACTGGTAGTAGTGGAAGCCCCTGTTCCCATCAGCACCACTACTACAAGAGCAGCAGCAAACAAGGGTATGTGTTGTGCTAAAAATGTAATGTCTGTCCATGGAACAGTTGTGTTTGCCAAAATGTATTTTCCTTAAAACTGTTGACTGACATTAATACTGTTATTCCCTTTTTATACTTCATTAGTTGAATCCATTGTTATAGTTGCTTTGTTACTGGTGCAGTTATGTTGTGAAACCAGAGGAAGCCTTTTTGGCAAGCCATGGGTGTTGGCATACCCCCTGCACAACAGTGAGCACTGATCCATTGAGGGTTCCCTTTATCTTAGTACAGATGAGGCAGATGAGGTAAGCAGTGGGAAGGTGAGGAGTAGAGGTTAAGGATGTGAGTAAGAAGATCTTCTGTTGTGCTCTTTCCCACATGGACAGATGCATGAGGAGCTGTCAGAAAAAAAACCCTCTATTTTTTCAGGTTGCCTGGCCTAATGGGAGAATTTCCAATCCTTCCAGCACATCAAAGGTTTAGGACATAGCCCAGACTTAAAATTTATCCCTCATTGTTCAAAGCATGGTATACTATTTCCACTGATTTGTATTTTGTACTATGACCCATTTACACACACTCTCCATATAAAGAGGGTCTTAATTACATGCACTTTACCTCCACCCTTCCCACTGCCCTAGTGATGTAAAAGCATGCTGGTGTACTTGAGAGCCAAACCCCGTAAATGTTAAGGTGACTCTGTAAATCCCCTGCTATCTACTGCAGCACACATCAGAGACTGAAGCTTTCAAGAGAAAACAAACCTAAAATGGAAAATTCCATGCCAGGAGTTTGGGAGCTTCTTTCATTCTAGACATACTGGCATTAATGATTAGTAGGTTTATGCTGAATTCATGATTAAATTTTACTCAGTTTTGACAGTATGAGGCTAATTCCTTAACTGATATAGAATTAAAGGCTTCATCATTGGAAGGCAGGAATTGGTCCTCCACTGAATGCAGAAAGACAGGATCAGGAAAAGGAGGAAAACGAGATTTGTTTTGCTAGTCAGAGAATGATTTTATCAGCTAAAAGTGATAACTCAGATGGAAATATACCTACATGTTCCTGCCATTCAGTTACACTGGTCTAAATCTAGAATAACTCCACTGCAACCAATAGAATTAGGATATTGTTCATATGGTAGAGATCCAGTTGGAGACACAAAAGGAAGCTAGGCACCCAATTGATTAAAGTAAATGGGTGTAAGGCATTTTACTCTCTTTCATATTCTTGAAAATTTTCCCTTAACTTACCAGTCTCTCTCTCTCTACAATGCCACAATCTAGGCTTTATCCACTCTCTCCTTTTCCTTTTAAATGGCATGGGTTTTTTTGTGGTAACCCTGATGAGAAGTACTACAGCACATCATTTTGAACATGGGGATAAGGAATGTCATACACTCCTCTGAGCCAAATCCTGGTGCCATTTAAAACAATGGTGAAACTCTCATTTAATTACATTGCAACCAGGATGTTGCCCTTTCTTGAATAAAATGGAATCCATTTTTCACCAAGAAAAGCACATGTGGTTTTAAACAAAAGGAGAATTTATTTCCTTTCTACTCTCTCCAGACAAATACGTGCACCTGTGACATGGCAGTACTTGATTCTTTTGTGCACCGAATGCAGTTATGAGGAATATAACATCTGAGAATTCTGATACACACAAAAAGCCCTGCTTTTATCTTGTTAAATAAAAGACAAGAAAAGAAAACTGGGTTTTTTGTTTGCTTGACTCAGGTACACTTAATTGCCCATTGGAAAAATGTCACTTATAATAATGCTTTCATGATTTCCAGCATTCATTACACAGCAAAAGGCCCTGCATATTCATCTTCACAAACATAAAAAGTTCTTATTTCTTGCTCTTTTCAAGAATGCTCATATAGATTCTTTGGAAGAACATTCGTAATTTAAAAAAAAATGTTTGTAATTTTGATTACATTGCTAACAACATCACCTTGGCAAATTAGCGCAATATTTGAGGGATAAGTGGGTGCATCCCTAGAAAAAATATGCGATGAAGGACACAACTTTATTAAGACAATATAACCAAGCATGAAGTTATGCAAGTGCATATAAAAGGGCAGCTATAGCTTTTCTCATGACTTGAAACCTTCAAACCTCTATCTTCAGTTTCAACCCAAATTAATTCTTTCAGCCTACTCATTTCCGGCCAACTGTTAGGCTAATAAATTAGTTAATGCTCTACTTCCTTAAGGAGAACCACCAAGCCAAACCCCATTGTGACTTGTGACAGGGGGCAATCTCCCAGGCCCAGTCACAGTATTGGCACACCCGCCTGTCTAGGGCAGTCTGCCCAGTCTCACCTGCCACACCATTGACGTAATGAAAAATGGTTGTAATAAAGCGGGAGACTGCCCATTCAAGACCCCGATGCCTAGGGGTTTACACATGACTCCGACCTCCCATTATCATGTCCCAGGCCTCGCAGATGTCTCCTTTTCAATTACTTTCAACTCCAACTCATGGGCAGGCCAAACTCAGCCCCCTGCTTAGCCTCATACATTCACCCTTTCTCTCTACCCTAATGGGCCTCATGCACACCACCCACTCTTACTGGGCCTCTTACACACTGCCCCACACTCAACCTGCCCCGCTCCCTTAAGCGGCTCCCGTAAGCCATTGCACTTGCCTACTCACATGCCTTGGCTGGCTGGCACACAGCCTCTCGGGCCTTCTCGTGACCTTCGTCCAAACAGTGACCAGTCATTTCACCTTGCCCTGGACGGAGTTCTGACCCAAAGCCCTTCGTCGGGTGACTCTTACTCTCTCTCCCTCGCTAGGGCCAATTACTCGGCCTCAGGCCCACTTGCAGCCTCAGGTGTCCGAAGACTTACCTAGGCCTAACTGCCCCCTCTCTGGGACCCACACTCTGCCCCTATGCTGTGGCCTTGGAGTATTACACCCCCAGAGGCTCAGGTGCCTCTCAGTAGGTGTACCTGGCCCCACTACTGGGGTCTTACACCCCCATGAGCTCAGATACCCCTCGCATGGGCGTTCCTGGCCCCACTACCCTCTGGTCATTATGACCCACCACATGGTGGGGGTTGGGGTTATCAGGCACCCCACCCGCCTTTCACCAGGGAGGTAACTGGCCTGGCATTTCTGGGGGACTGTCTCGCCATGGACAGCCCCACCAGACCACCCTTCCCCGGCAGGGTGCAGTTTTCAGTCTTACCCAGGACCAAGCAGGCCTACCTGCCCTGGTCCAGTTCCCTCATTACAGCTTCTCCTTGGGCTCTCTCTCTTTGGGCCCAGTTCTCACTCTGACCCCGCTCCACTATTAAAACTGCCAGCATGCTGGATGGCCCCTACCCTCTTTGGCTGTGATGTCCCCCTCATCAAAGGGTTCTTCAGCCCGTATGGGCTCTGGCCTCACCTCCAGGCCAGTCGGGGTGC